GCCCTCTACAGTCAACAAGTAAAGAATCCACACACTTTGCAAGCACACAAAGAACATTTCCCAAAAACCTAACCATTTGAGGGGCCATTCCCAAGTCTTCAGAGAGCTTCAAGGACTGAAATCCCAGAGTATGTTTCTTGACCATGATGCAATTAAATATCAATAATAAAAAATTAAAAATACAACTAGAATAGCCCTCATACATTTGCAAACTTTAAAAATATATCTCACACATACAAAAGTCAGCCCAGAAACCAGATTTCAAATGGTCTTTTTTTTTTGAGACAGAGACTCATTCTGGCACCCTGGCTAGAGTGCAGTGATGTCATTAGAGCTCACAGCAACCTCAAACTCCTGGGCTCAAGCAATCCTCCTGCCTCAGCCTCCCAAGCAGCTCGGACCACAGGCATGCGCCACCACGCCCGGCTAATTTTTTCTATTTTGAGTAGGGATGGGGTCTCACTCTTGCTCAGGTTGGTCTTAAACAAATGGTCTCTTTGGTGCCCAGAATTTTTTTGCACCTGGAGACAATGCCCTGAGGCAAGAGCCAGGCTGGTGTAAGGTGTGCCTGTGAGCAGAAGGGCACCCGAAAAAGGAAATGGGAAAGGAAAACCTACACCCCGCCTTGGCATGTGCACAGGGAGTCAGTTCCAGAAAGGTCCACGTGCAACAGTGGAGGACCTGGAAACTGACTCCTCCACGTAGACCCAGGCCCTAGAAAGCCTCCCTGTGCCCAGACTAAAACCGCAGATTATCAGATAGAAACGTGACACAGGCAACATACAGCCTCTGAAGGACTGTGAGCAGGTGAGGGGCAGGCTGGAAATGACTGAGAAGCCACTTCTGGGAGCAGAACGTGACATGACCATAGTTCTTCGCCCTGGCTGCACAGCAGGCACTTGGGGCACTTGGAAAGCTCAACGCCTGGCCCCACGTCAGGCCGGTGAAATCAGAACCGCCTGGCGCCAACAGGCCATTTCACCACTTGGCAGTCCCACGTCTCTGCTTGCAACAAAACGGAAGGCAGATGTGACCCAACCGTCAGCTGCTACATCATTAACAATCCTGATAAAAGATCACTATGTGATTTGGGGTTTATAAACCAAAAGAAGTTCAATATTGAGTGACCCTGCTATGCCAAAACTGTGTTCCTGTTTAAATGAACGATTTCTCAGAAATCACATCCATATAAACACGAAGCGGAAGCAGTGCTGAAGCCTGTCTTACTCTGACAGCAGTAGCCATCCAGATGGGGGTGGGGGGTGACATCTCGTTGAGACACATTTAATTTTTTGTTTTGTTTTGTTTTGTTTTGTTTTGAGACAGAGTCTCGCTTTCTTGCCTAGGTTAGAGTGAGTGCCGTGGCGTCAGCCTAGCTCACAGCAACCTCCAACTCCTGGGCTTAAGCAATCCTACTGCCTCAGCCTCCCGAGTTGCTGGGACTACAGGCACGAGCCACCATGCCCGGCTAATTTTTTATAAAAAATATCAGTTGGCCAATTAATTTCTTTCTATTTTTAGTAGAGACAGGGTCTCACTCTTGCTCAGGCTGGATTCGAACTCCTGACCTTGAGTGATCCCCCTGCCTCGGCCTCCCAGAGTGCTAGGATTACAGGCCTGAGCCACCTCGACCAGCCAAGACTGATGTATCATACAATTTGGGTTTATTCATGTTGTTTAAAAGAAATGGGATATCAAAATGCAATGATATTTAGATTCCACTGAATGTTTAAGAGTACTGAGCAGTTTTATTTTAAAATATCAATATTCAAAATACGCTATAGACTATATACTTTGCAAAAAATATTTAAACTTATGACAATTCTGGTGTTTTTTTTTTTACAGCAGATATTGCCTGACAATAAACTTATGACACTTTTTGATATCAACTTTGAAAACGTGCAAGGGGATACATAATTTCACATTGCTACATCAGCAAAAAAAACTTAAAAGACCACTGCTGCAGCCCCCACACAAGACGGCAAAAAAGATGGGGCTGAACAGGCTCTTCTGCCTCCCCGTGTCCTGTGCGTCAGCCATCAGGCACCTGGAATTCTAGTCACCTTTCAGCCACTCCTTCACCTGGACCACCCCACCCCCATACCACAGCAGATGCTGTCTGAGCGTGAGCCTCTCCCAGATGGAGTGAGTGAAGGAGACAAACAGGATGAAAGTTCAGAAAGCATCTCACCAGCTCGGTGAAGGAAGAGGCAGTTCTTGGGAAACGTTAGGGAGAAAATTCTAAGCGCTCTGAGCAATTTATTTCAGGAATTACAGGAAGTACTCCAGACCTTTAGGGAGTATCAGCAGGATCAAAAAGGAAAGGTCCCTGGAGCTGAATGGTGAGGCAAAGGACACAGACGAAACAATTATATTTCAGATTGTGAAAATTCCCTGAAGGCAAGCACAGAATCCTCTTAGTTCTGTGACATCTCTAGCCACTGACAATGTCAACCACCAGCTACCTACAACCCCAATTTAAGCCACTGTCCCTGATGGGTCTGTTACTTGTGGCTAAATCCTCTTTCTAACAACCCCAGCATTATCTGTACCTTGCTTTAAAAATACAAACAAAAAAACCCGCAACGCTACACTGAGCTCATCTCCACAAAAAATACAAGGCTTTAAAAAAAAAAAAATCTGAAAGTCCTAAGATAGAATGACGTGACAGAATGATACTCAGGGAGACAAGGCGGTTAATGAAGTCCTCCGAGTGGGCGGCACTTCACTGAGACGTGACAGATGAGGAGCCAGGCAGGCATGAAGAGCAGGAGGCAGTGTCCCAGACACAGGGAACAACAAGTGCAAAGGTCCTGAGGCAAGACGGCAGCCAGAGAACAGGAAGAGTGACTGGAGACGCCAGGAACCAAGGGCCAGATTGTGCAGACATAACGCATGCTGTCCCTTCACAGGAGACCCCAGGCTCTGATGATCAAAGTGGAAGCTGAAGAAAGTAACCCCAGACGCCACTAGCAGCTGTGTGGGGGCACAGGGCAGGAGGAAGAGGAGGAGGTGAGAGGACAGGCAGATGAGGCAACACAAGGACAGTGTGGGCTCCCAAAACTAAGAGAGAGAGTCAACCAGAAGGGAGCAGAGAGCAGGAAGATGGAGAAAACGAGGATACTGGCTGACAGCTCAAGTGTGGGAAGGGTGGGGATTAAGCAAACTAGTGCAGGAAGAGGTTCCAGCTCCAAGCCGTGACCCAGCCCAAAGTATTCCCCTTTCACTCCTTTCCTGACCTAGACTTCCTCGGTGTGCAATCTGGGTAGCAGCTGATGTTGGCCTCTGTTCAGTACTACATGCCCATTACACCTGAGGTTCCCTGACCTCTGGGGCAAAGGTCACCGAAACTAAAACTGCCCACCATACCACCAGTTCAATCCCTCCATACCACTGATGACAACACCCTCAACCATGACCACTAGCGGACAGGGTTCTAAGGGTCCCTCCATCTTCCCGAGGGACAGGGACTCAAGTTCATCAAGTGAATTGTGGCGGCGTGGAGATCCAACAGATCAGAGTTTATTTTTTTATTTTTTATTTATTTTTTTTATTTCTTTTTTTTTGAGACAGAGTCTCACTTTGTTGCCCAGCTAGAGTGGAGTGCCATGGGCCCACCCCCCCCCCCCCCCCCTCAGCCTAGCTCACAGCAACTCAAACCCCGCTCAAACCGATTCCTCCTGCCTCAGCCTCCCAAGTAGCTGGCTACAGCCATGTTCCACCATGCCGCTAGTTTTTTGTCATATTATATTTTTAGTTTATCAATTAATTTCTTTCTATTTTTATAGAGACGGGGTCCTCCGCTCAGGATGGTTTCTACTCCCAACCTCGGAGCAATCCACGCCCGCCTCGGCCCGTCCCAGAGGCTAGGAATTACAGGCTGAGCCACCACCGCGCCCGGCCCAATCAGAGTTCTAAACACACTCTGTTTTGCCAACTCACTGCTGTTATCCTGCCTAAAGTCATGTAAAACCATCTATTTTCATAAAAAGCCTGTTTGAGAATCCAAATACAATAAGGCACGGCAAGGTCAGTGCCCGACACACCAGCAAAATACCCCAAAAGGATCTAGTTCGTTTCATTCTTCCCCACTATTGGGCCAAACTGTAGACAGTCACAGCTCCACTACTTTCTGGCCGTGGGAACTTTGAGCTGAGGAGCTTTCAACTCTGAACCCTTAGTAATCTTACGTTAGTAAACTGGAGATGATATCTCCCCAATCGGCTCTTGAAAGGAATTAAGTGAGGAGGTGTAAAGTCTCAGTCACGGCACACCTCCCTGCGCAAGTACACTAACACAAATATCCATCACCCGATATTATTAGTGAGTGCGAAACAACGACTGAGGACAAGGGGGAAGGCAAGCTACAAACCAAGCTCAGATCTACACACACACGTGGGAGCCCGGAGCAAGATGCTTAACTCGAAATCATACCTAACTCTTAAAACACTACAATATGGGTTCCAAAACAACAACACAACTCGTCAGGGGAACAAGACGTAACACTACTGGCTCGTGAGCAAACTTAATCTAGCCCTGGAAATCCCCAAACACAACCACACCATCAACAACAGAAAACGGGCATAGACATAAATCGTAAGGCCAGTCCAGGAATCGCCCCCGAACAGAGGCCAGCGGAAACCCACAGAAAATCGACCTCTGCTCAAGAGAAAAGACAACGCCTTAACCTCATGACCTGCCTCGACCTCACTTTCACTCATTCCAGCCCCAAGGCCTCACCTTGAGGCTTGATGCAGCGAATGCCCTCAGCTTAAGTGTTCACCTGTCTGCCGTCAGTTATATCCGCAGCTACAGGACTCAGCAACAGAAGAAGGAGTAGAGGTGCAGTGGGGCCAGGGCCGGGGCCGGGAAGCCCAGGCCTCCCCAGGCACCGCCGGCCCCAGCCCCAGAGCCAAAACCGCACTTCCCCGCCATCTCTCCTCTCCTCGCGACCACTTCCGCCCTGGGACTTCCGCCTTCCGGGTGTCCCATCTAATGGCCTCCGGCCGGAAGCCCTCCAACCCTAGCCTCGCCGAGGGGTTAAAAAGCAAAGCCTGGCATCTAAGGACGCGGCGGCTTTATTGGCAGGCAGCCCCTCATCCTGGTCGAGCGCCGTTCCATCTCCCCGATGGCTCCGAGCACCTGTCGGCCAGCCTGAGCAACGGGTTCTTACGAGCGACAAGAGCTACAACCAATCACGGGAAAGCACGTTAGGCTTGTGAGCCAATGAGGAGCAGAGATAGGGTTTGATCTAGCGAGACGGTCGTGTGCGAAGCGGGGCATGCTGGAACTTGTAGTTTTTGTGGGCCGCTCGCGTGGGCCGGACGTTGGAAGGCGGCGATGCTGTCGGCCTCTGGCCTCAGTTGGGTCTCTGGAACAACGGTTCCCAGCCCAGGGGAAAAAGAGCTCTAAATGGAAGGCGGACGCCAGATTCCAACCCCCACGCCGCCTTGGCCTCACTGGGTGGCCCCGGTCGGGAATTTAAGCCGTCTCGGCTTCATCCACCCCAGCTCCACGCCTCTGGAGACTCGGGCCCAGTTACTTGAGGACCTCCACTACCCCCGCCTCCTCCTCAGGCCTCTGGTGAAGCAAGAAGAGCAGACCCGGTCCCGGCCTGGGACCCCAGTGATGGTGGAGCCCATCGGGATCCAAACGAGCGAGCGCAGGGCCAAACGCAGTAAGAAGGGCCCATCTAAGGTCCAGGAAAGCTGGCTGTGTCCGAGACCGAAAACTGGAGGCTTGCAGGCAAACGGAGCTCTGTTCTACCTGCTAATGCTACTTAAATAAGTCAGGACACTTGCATCCACCTTAGAAGTCCTGATTTCTGTTTCTTTTATGGGAAAAAAATGGAAGATCTAGGCCCACATTTCCACGGGAGAACGATGGGCCTGAGCTGAGCGGGACTGCCCCGCTACAGATGCCTTCTTCCTCTGAGCTAGTCCCCACCTGGCCACTCACCTACAGCACTGGCCTGGCCCTTCTCGACTTTACAATTAATGACTCCTGTTATAGATCACGGGGTGAGATGTTGGTTGCTTGCTTCTTTATTTTATTTTGAGAAGCTGCCCTCTGAAGTGAGTGAACTTATTCAGGATTGAGTGCTGAGACATCTTTTGTGGGTCATATATTTTTAATTTTTTTATTTTGTGTTTTTTTGTTTTTGTTTTTGGTTTTTTTTGAGACAGAGTCTCACTCTGTTGCCCGGGCTAGAGTGCCGTGGCGTCAGCCTAGCTCACAGCAACCTCAAACTCCTGGGCTCAGGCGATCCTCCTGTCTCAGCCTCCCGAGTAGCTGGGACTACAGCACTGCGCCACATGCCCGGCCAATTTTTTCTATATATTTTAGTTGGCAATAATTTCTTTCTATTTATTAGAGCGGGGTCTCAAGTTTGCTCAGGCTGGTTTCGAACTCCTGACCTTGAGCGATCCTCTCGTCTCGGCTTCCCACAGTGCTAGGATTATAGGCGTGAGCCACCATGCCCGGCCCCTAGCTTTTTTATTATTAAAGTCATTCTGTGTGTGTGTATGTGTGTAGAGCAAGAGAGATAACTGACACACAAACACAACAAAAATCTTCTGCCAGTCCCCTTCCAAGCAATGTACCCTTCCAGAGATTTACCTATACCTGTGCAAACAAGGACGTACACATTCCACCAGACCTCCAAGCGGGCTGCGATTTTTGTCAGCCATGGTCATGCCTGAATCTCCACCATCTAGAATAGTGCTTGGCACATTGGAGATGATTAATAAGTAATTGGTGAAAGGATGATTATTCTAGAACCTGGAATCAGGTCATGAAGAATGAATAGGAGTTTACTAGGAAAGGGGAAACCATTCTCAGCAGAGAGAACAGGAGATGCAAGGCCAGGGAGGGATGTCTGAAAGCACAAGGAATGCAAGGAGTTTGGAATGGCTGAGATCCTAACGTTGGCGGCGCTGCCGTCGCAGTCGGAGTCAGGACCTTTTAAATATATAATCACCAACCATAAACACACACAACAACGCATGGGACAGTGTAAGCATGGGCATGACCCATGCGGATTTCTCTGGCTATGGTGAGAAGAAGAGGTTGGAGGGGCCTGTCAGGTAGGGAGACCGATTTTATTATGACCAGAGGAGAGGGGGCGAGGCCAAAGCCAAGGAGAGCTCCACAGGGAATGAGGGTCAGAAGTCCCAGCCGGAGACCAGACATTGGTACCTGATTCCTGAGGGCAGCCAGGGGAAGAGAAGCTGGGAAGAGTGTTCTATGGCATGGAGGCACTGCCCCACCCTCATGGCGTAGAGAAACTAGATAAGGGCTAAGAGACGGGTAGTCCCGGTGTGAAGACGTGGTCAGCGCTGGGTTTGGCATCCATGGTGCACAGGTGGGGACAGGAACCTCTGCAGCAACAGCGGAGGACGAACTGAGAAGGGGACCCCAGGCAGGGCCTGTGACTGGGCCTTTGGCAGGGGGACGAGCTGTTGGCACCCGGGCTGGTGGTGGCACGGGCACATTCACAGCTTCGCAGATCTCCTAACAGGATGTGTAACCTTGGGCAACTCACTCCTCTCTGAGCCTCAGTTTCCTGGTTCTGTAAAATGGGAACAATGAGCACCTCTCAAGGTGGTCGTGAGGATCAAATTAAGTCATGTTGGGAGAAGACCGTGCACACTGTAAAGCCCCCCGTGAAGCCCAGGCCTGGATCCGTGGCACAGCGGACAGGCTATCTGCACTCACGGCACACACTCTGCCACCCTGCAGAGCACACTGACAGTCACACACCATGTGGAGACCACCATTGGCAATGGGCCGGGCCCACCCCTAGCCCTTACACACGCTGAATCCCTCCATCTGGGCGGCCCAAAGCAAGGTGTCTGGGAAGAGGTGTTGGCTAGAGCAGTTGCCAGCTACCACAACAGGTAGGCCCTAGTGTGCACAACAGCTCAAAGAATTTCATTTCTTGCTCACGTAACTGTCCGACAACGCCGGCGTTGCAGGGTGACAGTGGCTTGCCTTCGCTCACTGCCCCATGGACCTCTGCTCCTTCCTTCATGTGGCTCCACGATCCCCTGGTCCTCTTGCCTTCTGTATCTACCCAGCTGAAGAAGAAAGAGAGAGGGTGGAGGCCACACACCTACTTCTTCAAAATCTTGGCCCAGAAATGACACATGTCACTCCATTCACATTCCCAGTCAGTGGGAACTGGTCACATGGCCACACCTGCCTGCAAAGCAGCTTGAGAAATTAAGTTTAGGCCGGGCGCGGCGGCTCACACCTGTCATCCCAGCACTCTGGCAGGCAGAGGCGGGCGGATTGCTCGAGGTCAGGAGTTCGAAACCAGCCTGAGCAAAAGCGAGACCCCATCTCTACTAAAAATAGAAAGAAATTAATTGACCAACTAAAAATATATATACAAAAAATTAGCCGGGCATGGTGGCACATGCCTGTAGTCCCAGCTACTCGCGAGGCTGAGGCAGGAGGATCGCTTGAGCCCAGGAGATTGAGGTTGCTGTGAGCTAGGCTGACGCCACGGCACTCACTCTAGCCTGGGCAACAGAGTGAGACTCTGTCTCAAACAAACGAAAACTCCACCACCCCTCAATGTGATAGCACTTGGAGAGGGGGCTGTTGGTCATGCAGGGGGGGAACCCCTATGATGGGTAGTGCCCTTATAAGAAGCGACAGGAGGGAGCTAGTTTCCTTTCTCTCTGCTCTCTACCGTGTGACGACACAGCAAGAAGACAGCCCTCTGCAAACCAGGAAGAGGGACCTCACCAGAAACCGGATCACCTGGCACCTTGAACTTGGACATTCCAGCCTCCAGAACTGTGAGAAATAAATGGTTTTTTTTTTTTAAGCCACTTGGTCTTTGGTGTCTGTGTTGTAGCAGCCTGAGTGACGAGGACGGCAATCCCGAGGTGGGATTTCCACCTGAGCGAGTGTGATTGCACGCATGTCCCTGGCGTAGGTGCACCTGATCTGTTTCCCCTGCCCAGGTAGGTAAGCATGTGATGGCCGCACAGGTCACTGGGGTGTCTGAGTGCAGACGTGTCTATTTGCAGTTGTGCCTGTCACGTGTACCTGTCCAGGAGACTGTGCAAGCGTGTAACTACACACCCAGGCACTCCTAATGAGAGGGAGCACGTGTTTTTATTTATTTATTTTAGAGACAAGGTCTCACTCTGTTGCCCAGGCTGGAGTGCAGTAGCGCAATCATAGCTCACTGTGGCCTTGAACCTCCGGGTTGGCACACAGTAGGGATAAGGGTGTGCTCCATACACGTGGAGACACAGGTCCCAGTGCACGGCCATGCATGTTCCCAGGATCTCTGCCACGGTGCACAAAGGTGCCTAGGTATGTTTACGTGCCCTCCTGTGTGTCCAGACAGGACCTTAGGTCTCCCTGGGCCGGGCCAGACAAGCTGGCTCCTCGCCGGGCACACGGGGGCCTCTGCTGTGTGTCGGTGCCTGTGTGGGACGCTGCCAGGGCGTGTTGGCAGCGTGTGTGTGCGTGCATGAATGTGTGTGTGCGTGCGTGTGTGTGTGTGTGTGTAGGAAGAGGCGTTCGCTCTCTTAGACCTTGCTTCTTTCTGTGGTTTGGTTTCTATAGAGACACTTCCTGTGGCAGAGAAAAGAGGTAGTGAGCTGGTGTTTCAGGATGTGAGGGCCTGCGGGAGCCGAGCGGGCGCTCTCCTCCGCCTGCCCACCACTGTGCAAGCTCTGGCCAGCAGCACTGCCCACAGTCCCCATGGTGGGCAGCCCCCGTGGCGGGGACCCGTGATCGGAGGCGGCATGCCAGGGAAGCCCAAGCACCTGGGCGTCCCCAACGGGCGCATGGTGAGTGTGGGCGCTGGGCCAGGGCCACGAGGAGGGGGTGGGCACACCCAGGGTGGAGCCCGGGAGGCACACCCAGCAGGGCTGGGCAGGAGCTCACGGGCCACCAGCAGGCGGGAGAAGTTGGGTACGGACAGCAGCAAGCGGTGGGACCCCGGGGCCCTCACCCGGGACCCTTCCAGATGGCCCCGGTTGGGAGCCCGGTGCAACCCCGGGGCTGAGACCAGAGCAGAGCGGACCCAGGCTTCTGGTCTCTCCCCCACTGCTCCCTCACCTGCCGTTGGTGTGGGCCTGACCTGGGCTTGCGCCCCACAGCAGCAGGGAGACCTGGCGGGCCCCTTGCCCTCCCCGTCTGCCCCACAGTGGTCCAAGGTCCCACACCTCACTCAGCCTCAACCCTCCCCGCTTCACCTCATGCCCCAGGTGCCCAAAGTGAGGTTAGTGGCAGGCTCGCTGGTCACTGCCGTCTAGCCAGACCCCCCTGGAGGGTCTCTGCCAGAGCCGGTGTTCTCTGGGCAGCCCGGATGGGTCAGCAGGGGAGGGCAGGTTGGTGCAGCTCCTGGAAGTTCTTGAGCTTCCGGGGGGCTGAGCACTAGGTGCGCTGGCCCACCCCCTCTGCCCTTTCCCTGGCTGCTTAACCCCTCATTGGAGCTGCCCTTGGAGGTGGGGTGAGCCTCCCTTCTCTCTCTAGGGCCCCCCCTGCATGGCAGGGCCCCTCCTAACAACCTCAGGAAGGCCAGACACTGTCCTGGCCTCCCCTACCAGGTCCCAGCCTCGTACCATGGGACAAAGCCAATGCATCCAGAGAGATCTGGGTTCCAGTCCTGGCTCTCTTGTCCCTTGCTGGGGGAGTCCTCTCTGACCCTCAGTTTCCTCATCTGTAACCCAGGGAGGTTGGAATGGATCTCAAAGGCTTGTTGAGATAAGTAAGTGGAATAGCGAATGTGAGGCCCATGGTGGGGGCTGCGTAAGTGCCTCGTGCCCCTGCTTTCTCGGCCTCTTCAGCTGAGCCGCCCATGCCTCCTCCTGCCTCCCAATTCCCAAGACCCGCTTCCGTCTCTCCTTCCTCCAGCACGTCCTCACGGCCGGCCAGGCCGGCTGGGCGGGACAGAGGCAAGTCCTCCAAAGCCCGCTCAGCCCCCACCTCGCTGCCTCTGCTGCCAGCCCCGCCGAGAACGCTCGGGAAGAGCCCACCTGCCCCGTGCCCGCCCCAGAGGCGCGATGCCAGGCTCGCCCCTGCCGGGCTGCCCCGGGGAGCCCAGGAGGAGCGGCCCAGGCCCCCTGGGAGGGCGGCTGGAATGATGCTTCTGGAGCAGTGTCCGGAGCTGCAGGGCAGCTGCAGGGCCCGCAGACAAACCCCCCTCCGCCCCTCCTGCGTCAGCCCGTGACTTCTCCGCTCAAGAGCCATTCCGAGTAGGGAGGGCGCCCCCAGGCTCTGCCCCCCCATCCAGCCCACAGACAGTTTACCTTTGCCCTTCCTGTGCCCATTGTGAACTCTCTGTGCCACCTCTGTGACCCTTAGAATCCCCACGGTCATAGGCTGCCTGCTGGCCGGCCACTAGGCAGTTCTCTGAGGCCACTCTTGGCCAGGGCGGGAGGGGTGGACAGGCACGGGCAGCATGGCAGGGGTGTGGACGGAGAGCACCTCGGCCAGGTGTCTGGTCCCTCTGCGAGTCACCTCCCAAGGGAGGCTCAGCAGAGTGAGTGATGGGCCGAGGGCAGCCGCAAGTAGGGGTGGTCAGCTTCTGGACCCCCCCTCAGCCTGCCTGGCTCTGCACCCCACCCCCACCCGCCATTCAGCCTCGCCTCTGCCACTCAGCTTGTCAGGCTGTCACTTAGAGATGGCTCCCAGCCCCTCCCAGGGATGTCTTCACACAGCCCCAAGTGCCACTTCATCTGTGCACTCACTCACTCACTCAGCAAGCCCTCCGCAGGGCCCGCTCGGCGCCCCCTACCCCACCACCCTACCCCCGCAGCGCTGCAGACCCGGCAGTCAGCCCCACCCCTGCCCTCGTGCAGCCCCCGGTCTAGCAAGGCGCAAGAGACACAGGCAAAAAGACCAGAATAAAATTCAGGGTTGGGTGACAGCCACACAGGTCAGGGGTGGAGAGAGCTTCCCTGGGACTCGCAGGGGAGACCTAACTTCTCGATTGGCTCCATGCCCCGTGACACAAGGGACCTTGCCTGAAGGGGCCGCGGGCTCAGGCGGGAAAGGCAGGGCCGAGGCCTGGATGGGGGACAACAGGCACATGGCCCGAGGGGAGGCTGGGAGTGAAGCGCGGAGAGGGGCAGCTGTTCTGCTCTGCCACTGTCAGGGACCTGGTTAGTCACCCACACTGGCAAGGACACTTGCCAGGCAAAGCCCACGTACCCCCTCTGTGCCTCTGGCATCCAGCTTGGGGTCAGGCACTCAAGCTCAGGGTGGCCTTACGGAGGGGTCCAGGCTAGGGCTCAGCTCCACAGGGTGGCTCAAGTTGGCAGGACCAGACACCCGGGCTCTGGGCGGACATCCCCAGGGAGAGGCACGCAGCCTCAGTTTCCCAAGCTACGATGCAACGGTAGAGGGGCCGGCACAGAAGACAGTAAGTCGGCCCCCCCTTCAAGGCCTGTCCCCCTCCAGAGGGCAAAGTGCAAGAGGAGCCCTTCTGGGCCCTTCGCACCCAACCGGTCTTGCCCACCTGTGCCCTGTGGGCTGGGGCCCTGGGCCCCCAAAGCTGCCCTGGCCCACACAGGGAAGCACCTGGGTGGAGGACGGCGAGACCTCGGGCTCCAGAGTCAGGCAAACTCGAGTTTTAGTCTCAGCTCTGCCACTTCCCGGCTGTGCGATTCTCTGGGCCTTGGTTTCCTGATCTGTAAAATGGGCGCAATAATACCTGCCGTGCAAGATAAAAATGAAAAGACGGAGTGAGAACACGATGTGCACTAGCAGAGGCTGCCTGCCACACGGCCGGAGCTCAGGGAGCCTGGGGCCCTCCCTCACCTCGGTATTCCCGGGTACCAGCAGCTCCTCCGGGGCCCGCTTCCTAAGAAAGAAGTACGGGCGGCTGAGGTCCCACCATGGGTCGGGGGTGTCACTGGCCACCACACCCTTCCTCACCCTTTCTTCCCCTTTTCCCCATCCACCCACCACTTCTCCTCCAGCAGGCCAAGGTGGGGCGAGGCCGGCCCTGCTCAGCACAGCTCCCTGGCCTGGCGCCCGTGAGGCCAGTGCACAGCCCGGCAGGCTTCTGCCCCTGTTGTCAAGGCCGCTGCTCGCCCGCCACGCGCCTGGCGCTTTCCCTCGCGGGGCCGCATCCGACCTTCGCAGCAGCTTCTCAGGAGACCGGGGTGCTGAGCCCCACAGTACGCAGTGGGAAACTGAGGCTGGCCGGGCGCAGTGGCTCACGCCTGTAATCCTAGCACTCTGGGAGGCCGAGGCTGGAGGATCACTTAAGGTCAGGAGTTCAAGACCAGCCTGAGCAAGAGCGAGACCCCGTCTCTACTGAAAATAGAAAGAAATTAGCTAGACAACTATATAGAAAAAATTAGTCAGGTGCGGTGGCGCATGCCTGTAGTCCCAGCTACTCGGGAGGCTGAGGCAGGAGGATCGCTTGAGCCCAGGAGATTGAGGTTGCTGTGAGCGAGGCTGACGCCACGGCACTCACTCTAGCCTGGGCAACAAGCAAGACTCTGTCTCAAAAAAAAAAAAAAAAAGTAGAAGATAAAACCTCTGAGGGCCAAACAAAATCGGAGTGTGGGCTGGCAGCAGCCCCAGCAGCCGTGGCCACCTCTGGGGCTCTGAGCCAGGGAGAGGCTGGTGGAGCTGCAGGGCAGACGGAGGCTCGGAGGATGCCCAAGGAGGGCAGGGCCAGGCAAACAGAGCAGAGATGCTGTCGGGATGATCCTGGGGGCGCAGGCAGGGGCAGGACAGGGAGCTGCGGGAAGGCAAGTGTGGGCTGCAAAGGAGCCCTCGCACACGTGCGGCCCCCAGTGGGACTTTCTCCTGTAGCCGTAGCCGTGGGAAGCAAGCACCGCCTCTCACTGGGGGAACCGACTGCCACGGCTCGGGTCACCCGGGGGAGGGCAGAGGCCGGGGTGCAGGCCAGGCAGGAGGTGGCAGGACAGTGAGCCAGACCGGCTCCCCGCCCAGCCATGCTCTGCACAAAGTTTTTGTCCCCAGCGACTTCGAGTCCCGAGCGCCAGAGGGGAGGTGAGCTCAGGAAAGAGCCCAAAGTTGTAAAGCTAGAAAAAAGCAGGGCTGGGATTCGAATCCAGGTGTGACAGACCCCAACACCTGCGATCTTTCCTCTGTGGCAGGGGTGGCAGGTGCCCCGCAGGGACAGGCACCAGCACTAACACAACAACCCCCAAGCATCGTGAGGTTCCTTGAATATTGCCGACATGCCAACGTGTTCTGAGTTCTGAGTTCAACATGCCGCTAGTGTTCTGAGTTCTTTGCATATATTTAACACACTTAATCACAGCATTCTTTTGAAGTCGGGACCATTATTTGCCCCATTTTTAGGGGAAGAAAGTGAGGCACAGAGAAGTTAAGTGCCTTGTCCAAGGTCACACAGCACACATTTGACCTCCCAAATTTGAGCCTGTCTCCAGGGGCCCCTGAGGAGAAGGTGAGCCTCTTCTAGGGAAGGTGGTGGCTGCTCAGTGCCAGCCAAGGTTGTCATGCTGGGAAGAAGCTGGAGCATCAGAATTTTAACAGACAGAAAGCTGGGGTTTTATATAAAAATCTCCTGGTTTTTAAATGTGGGAAACCTCTTTAAACTTAAAAAAATCTGCCGGGTTTGGTAGCTCACGCCTGTAATCCTAGCATTCTGGGAGGCAGAGGCAGGCGGATTGCTCGAGGTCAGAAGTTCAAAACCAGCCTGAGCAAGAGTGAGACCCCATCTCTGCTATAAATAGAAATTAATTGGCCAACTAATATATATAGAAAAAAATTAGCCGGGCATGGTGGCGCATGCCTGTAGTCCCAGCTACTGGGGAGGCTGAGGCAGGAGGATTGCTTGAGCCCAGGAGTTTGAGGTTGCTGTGAGCGAGGCTGACACCACGGTACTCACTCTAGCCTGGGCAACAGAGTGAGACTCTGTCTCAAAAAAAAAAAAAATCTGAAGGCCAAGATAATAATGTCCTACACACCTGCAGGCCAACATGGCCCTCGTATGGCTGCTCGGTGACCTGGGTGTGCCCAGGGTGGGAGTGGGGAGCAGAGGAGATTCCAGCCAGGAGGGCAGGGGGTGCTTTCTTGGGGAGCAGATGTGTGCAGGCCTGTTTCCGGCGGGGATGGAAAGAGAGACAGGGCATAACGAACAAGGAGGGGTTGAGGATGACTCAAGCCCCCATGTGGGGAGCGCAGGTGCTGGGAGAAAGCTGGGATACAGCCACGACGGCGGGGGAGGGTACTCTGTTTTGGTGGGGGCAGAGGTTGCCTCCATCTGGGACTGGCTGAGTTTGAGGGGCTTATGGGACACTTGGGGGAAAATGTTACCAGGAAATTTGGCTGCATTTGGAGCTGGGGGTCTGTGGATGGGACAAAGGGCCTGGGACAGAGCCGGGGAGGGGCAGAGGCCACACCGCATGGGCAGGCGGTCGTGAGGAAGCGGGAGGAGCTGCTAGGAGCTGCCACGGGAAACCACGGCCACAGTCATTTGGAGAGGAGGGTTTTTCTGTTTCTCTAGAGGCTGGGATTCCCAGAGAAGCGGAGTCTCGGCCTCTCCGGCACGCCGCCCACAGTGCAGCACCAGCACCGCCCTGGAGCTTGCTAGAAACAGAGAGCCTCAGGCCCCATCCCAGACCTGCTGACCCCCCGATCTCCAGGAGTGGGGTCCTCCCAGTCACCCTGCGGTCAAGTTTGAGAGCCGCTGCTCTGCGCCACAAAACGGCGCCCGGTGCCCTGCCCAAGGTGGGGTGGGACCCGTCGGAGACCCTGGGCCCCAAGAGGAAACAGTTGCGATAAGGCAATTGGCTACAGGGACACCTCTCCTTCCTCAAGGACAACAGCAAAGGTTGATACGGCCTCACCGCGCGTGCCGGTCACTGCTCTGGATACTGTAGTCAGATTAAACTGGTTTGATCCTCACAACAGCCCCGGAAAGGAAGACTCTATTACTAGTGTCGCCCCCTATTTACAGATGGAGGCAAACAAGTTAGCTAACTTGCCCAAACTCACACAGCCAGCAGGTGACAGAGACAGGCTGAAGTCTGCTCCTACCTACCACGCTACGCACACCGGGCTCGCCGAGCGGGGCGGCTGGGAGGTACCTGGCTTGAGTGCCGGGACACAGTGCCTGGCACGGGACAGACAGGGAGCGAGTCCCCGGCCAAGCAGAGACTGGCTGGGGATGGCCGGCGTGGCTGTCCACGTGGTGCCAGCTCCTGGGCGCTGGGCCCAGAGCTGTCTCTCGGGCATCCCCACCGGACCCGGCTCTGACTTTCTCCTTCGGGTCTCTTGTAGGTTCTGGCTGTCTCAGATGGAGGTGAGTAACAGCAGCACGTGGGGAGGCCTGGCTGAGGGGGAGGGAGGGGGTAGCGACGGATGTGGACACCCCTGCCCCTTGCTATCTTTCCCGGGAAGGTACCGGCAGAGCGATGCCCACCTGGGGGTGGGCTTGGGCCAGGGGCTGGGGAGAGCGACAGCTCACCCTGGTTGTCCATCCCCTGCAGAGCTGAGCAGCGTGGCGGGGCCCCAGGGCCAGGGCGAGGGCCGCGGCAGCTCCCTCAGCATCCACAGCCTCCCCAGCGGCCCCAGCAGCCCCTTCCCCACCGAGGAGCAGACCGTGGCCAGCTGGGCCCTGTCCTTCGAGCGGCTGCTGCAGGACCCGCTGGGCCTGGCTTACTTCACTGTAAGCCCTGGGTGAGGGCGTGGGAGGGGGCGCGGGAGGGCACGCTGGCTGGAGCTGCAGGCTGGCCAGAGCCGGCTCCTCTGTCACTCCCTCCGTCTAGCCTTCCTTTGACACCGTCTTCCTCTTCTCCCAGCTGGGAGCTCTTCTTCCTTCTCTGTCCTTGTCATCTCTGCCTCCCGTTTTCTCTGGGCCTCCAGAACTGGCTCCGTCTGTCTGGCCCTGTCCGTCTGGTTGGTCTCTTGGCCCTGTCTCCAGAGATAGTCTGTGGTTCCAATCCCTTCCAGCACATGCCCAGATTCCCTCTCTGTGTCTCTGACTGCCCTCCTCTTTCCTCTCCCTCTCCTCTCACCGCCTCCTCCTCTCCATCCTCCCTCCTCCTCCTCTACCTCCTCTGCCTCTCTCTTCTCTCGCCTCCTCTCGTCACCCTCTGCTTCTCCGTCTCCTTCCTCCTCATCGTCTCCTCTCTCCTCACTCTGCCTCCTCTGCCTCCTCCTCTCCGTCCTCCTCCTGTCTCTCCGTCTCCTCTCTCTGCTCTTCCGTCCTCCTCCTCCACTCCCTCCTCCACTGTCCTCCTCCTCTGCCCTCTCCCGTCCTCCCTCTGCCCTCTCCGTCTCCTCCCATCTCTCCTCTTGCCCTCCCCTTCGCCCCCACTCTCCCCTCCTCCCCCTCTGCCCCTCCCTCGCTCCCCCTCTCCCCTTGCCATCCTCTCCCTCTGCCTCCTCCTCCTCGTCCCCCATCCCTCTGCCCTCTCCCTCCTCCCCTCGTCCCCCTGCTCCCTCCTCCTCTGCCTCTCTCTCCTTCCGTCCTCCCCCGCCTCCGTCCTCCCTCTCCCCGTCCTCCCCCTCCTCCCCCTCCCAGGAGTTCCTGAAGAAGGAGTTCAGCGCGGAGAACGTGACTTTCTGGAAGGCCTGCGAGCGCTTCCAGCAGATCCCGGCCAGCGACACCCAGCAGGTGCGGAGCAGGGAGCGGGCAGGGCTGGGGGGGACCGCGGCCTGGGCACGCCCGGACCTTCTCGTCCCTTCTCCCTCAGCTAGCCCAGGAGGCCCGGAACATCTACCAGGAGTTCCTGTCCAGCCAGGCGCTGAGCCCAGTGAACATCGACCGGCAGGCCTGGCTCGGCGAGGAGGTGCTGGCCGAGCCCAGGCCGGACATGTTCCGGGCGCAGCAGCTTCAGGCGAGCCGTCCCGGGCGGGACCCTGGAGGGGACAGAAATGGGGCGGGGCGGTGGTCCTAGCGCGGTACGAGACGCTGCGGGACGGGGGACGGGCTAGGGGCGGAGCCTACCTGGGCGCGGGGCGGGGCCACGAGTGGGGGCAGGGCCTGGAGGTGGGCACCGAGGTGGGGCGGGGCGGGGGCGGGGCCACGAGTGGGGGCAGGGCCTGGAGGGGGCACCGAGGTTGGGGCGGGGCGGAGGTCCAAGTGCGGTACGAAGGACGGGCTAGGGGCGGAGCCTACCTGGGCACGGGGGCGGGGCCACGAGTGGGGGCAGGGCCCGGAGGGGGCACCGAGGTGGGGGCGGGGCCGGGGGATGTCCCCACCCCAGGTAGGGGGCGGGGCCGGCCCCGGCTCACGCTCCCGGCGCTGTCCCCGCAGATCTTCAACTTGATGAAGTTCGACAGCTACGCGCGCTTCGTCCGGTCCCCGCTCTACCGCGAGTGCCTGCTGGCCGAGGCCGAGGGGCGGCCCCTGCGGGAGCCCGGCTCCTCGCGCCGCGGCAGCCCTGACCCCACGAGGAAGGTGCGGACGGGGTGGGGGGCGGCCGGAGGCTAGGGGCCCTGCAGACCGTACGCCAGAGGGGACGGCCCGGTGCAGACCTGCGGGCGTGTGCCCGCCGCGTGCATGCGGGCTAAGCCCCGCCCGGTGCCAGCGCCTTCCCTGTACCCGCAGAAGCCGAAGCTGAAGCCCGGGAAGTCGCTGCCGCTGGGCGTGGAGGACTTGGGGCAGCTGCCGCCTGCCGAGGGGGCCGGGGGCCGCCCGCTCCGCAAGTCCTTTCGCAGGGGTGAGGGCACGAGCGGGCCACGGAGATGGGGTTCACGAGTTTGGGCAAATTTGGGGAGCTCCCCCTTACTCCTACGTGGCCCACAGCCAGCCGCGTGTGTAAGTCTGTGAAAATCAAAACGCAAGTTCCCGCGACCACATTCCCCCTGCGGGGGGGGGGGGCTAGGCCCCAGACGTTTAGAAACCACACTGGGCCCTGCCGCATGGCTCTGAGCGAGGCCCACCAGGGAGGGGAGCCTTCGGCAGAGGGATGGGCGAGGGCGGAGGGGCCGTCCAGGTTCATCGCTTCCTCTTCCCCAGAGCTGGCCGGCGGGGCTGCAAACTCCGCCTTGCGCAGAGAGTCGCAGGGCTCCCTCAACTCCTCTGCCAGTCTGGACCTCGGCTTCCTCGCCTTCGTCAGCAGCAAGTCCGAGGTGAGCCGGCTCCCCAAGGAGACCAGGTGCCTCAGGCCCCTCTGGGTGGTTGCCATCATTCCCAGTCCTGGCCCCACTGCCGTCTCCCAGCTGGCTCTGCACAGCCAACCCTTGAGGCTCCTCAGTCTCCGCCCGCCCTCACGGCATTGGTCCCCATGTATGTGACGGGTGCACACCCTCAATCAGCAGGTGTGTGGGCATGTGCAGGCGCCCAGATGTGCACAGCATGGGTGTGGGTGTGTGGGTGGACCCGTCTCTAGGTGCCCATATGCCTAGGAGTACATGCGTGTGTTCCTGCAGGAGCACCTACCTTTGCCTGCCTGTAGGGAGCCCCGTGGGCATGCAGGTGCATGTCTGAGCCCCAGCGGGCTTGCTGTGCATCTGTGCGTCTCTGTGCGTCTGTGCGCATGCCCTCACACGGGCACACATACCCTCCGCCACTCCCGCCCCAATCAGAGCCACCGGAAAAGCCTCGGGAGCACAGAAGGTGACAGTGAAAGCCGGCCAGGGAAGTACTGCTGTGTGTACCTGCCCGATGGCACAGCCTCCTTGGCCCTGGCCCGACCTGGCCTCACCATCCGAGACATGCTGGCAGGGATCTGTGAGAAACGAGGACTCTCCATACCTGACATCAAGGTCTACCTGGTGGGCAATGAGCAGGTGCGAACCTGGCCTGGCCCCAACTGCAGCCTTCCTCCTGATCCTGACCCCAGCTCTGTCCCTGTCTCTGCTCAGTGATGACTCCAAACCCAACTCCGTGTCTAATCTCTCAGACTAACTCTAATTCAAAGTCTACCTTCCTGACTCCAGCCCTCACCAGGGCACCCCCACCCCCACCCCCAACTCCAACTCCAACTCCAACTCCTCACTCAGACTCAGACCCCCACCCATCCCACACCCCACCCCATCCATATCCCACCGTGATGGGCTCAGGGGTGGAGCAGGGGAGAACCACTGCCGGAACGGGGCTGTTTCCCCACGGCCTAGTTCAGACTGCCGTCTCCACAGGCCCATCTGGGGGAGCCCCTGCCTCCTCAGCCACTAGGGGCAGCCAACTGCACCTAACCAACGAACTGCTTTCCTTTAGGTGCACACTAGCATTAAACTTTAAAGAAGGGTCGAGGGGAAAACTGGCTTTAAACTTGACCACCCAGTAAGGGGGATATAAAGGAAGAATGCTGCATTCCAGGGCACCGCCAGGATTTCTTGCACCTAGCAGACAAGTCTTAAGGCCCTGCCAGGTGGGTGGGCAGAGGGCCCCCGATCTGGGGCTGTCCTCCTGGCCCACAGGCTGGAGGTAAACCAGGCAGGATATGAGCAGGAGGAAGAGTGAAACTTCCAGAGAGTGTCTCTTGCGGGGAGGTAGGCACTTCTGGCTGGTGTCTGGAAGACTTCGTGGAAGAAGCTGCAGTTGACGGGGATGGGAAGGAGTTTGCCTGGGAGCGAGATAGGGGAGGATGTTCCAGGCAGAGGGAACATCTTAAGTGAAGGCCTGGAGGGGGTACTTGCAGGGCACGATCAGGGACCAGGGGCCTGGAGCTTGGGGGTGCAAGGCCAGTAGGGGGGGGTGCTCTGCCCACTGTCTCAGGCTGCCAGAGCAGCTGCCAGCAGCCCAGATGGGCTTTCGCGCCTGCTAAATATAACTGCACCGCCCACTCTCCACCTGTCCCTGCAGCACAGCACAGGCCTCCCGCCTGGGAGAGGCTGCCCCGCCCCCACTCCTGGGCTGGAGCAGGCAGTAGGGCCTATGGGGCCATAATCACGACAGTTACTGTTTATGTGCCTACTGTGTGCCGGGCATTGTGCCAGATGCTTCACATCCTCTGGCCTCATAGGGGGCCTTTTTTTTTTTTTTTGAGACAGAGTCTCACTTTGTTGCCCAGGCTAGAGTGAGTGCTGTGGCTTCAGCCTCGCTCACAGCAACCTCAAACTCCTGGGCTCAAGCAATCCTCCTGCCTCAGCCTCCCAAGTAGCTGGGACTACAAGCATGCACCACCATGCCCGGCTAATTTTTTGTTTATATATTTTTAGTTGGCCAATTAATTTCTTTCTATATTTAGTAGAGACGGGGTCCCGCTCAGGCTGGTTTCGAACTCCTGACCTCGAGCAATCCGCCCGCCTCTGCCTTCCAGAGTGCTAGGATTACAGGCGTGAGCCACCGCGCCCGGGGCCATAGGGGGACATTTTTGCAGTGATTGGCAAGAAGTGTCCTTAGAAGGAGGGAATGGAGAGACCTGGACAAATGTCAAAGTTGGGACAAGGCTTGGGTGGCTGACTAAAGGTGGGTGGTGAGGGAAGAAATGCATCCAGCTGGTCTGATGAGGTTTCACATGCCTGAGGGACAAGGGGCAGCCGTCCAGCGGGTAGGTCCTGTCCTGTCCTGGAAAGCATAGGCCACCACTACCGTTTCATGCCACAGCTGTTTCCCATAACGACAATCCTTTTCCAAGAATGTCCAGCATTCTTGCCGCTTTTCTCCCTGGCCTTGGCCTTACCAGTCTCTGACTCCAGCCTCGATCCTTATCCCCCTGCTCCTGCCTCGCCTGCTCCCCCAGAGCTCTCCTGGCCACCTTCCCTCCCTCTAGGGAGGCCCAGTGGCGGCCACTGGGGAAGTTGAATGTTCTCTCAGACCCCCGGGGATGGCTCAGGGTTGGGGGAGGGACTCAGACCCTGCCTGCCATCCGCAGAAGGCCCTGGTCCTGGATCAGGACTGCACGGTGCTGGCTGACCAGGAAGTGCGGCTGGAGAACAGGGTCACCTTCGAGTAAGTGCCCCGCCCCCAAGGCTGGCCCTGTTCCGGCTACCTGGCGCCCAGGCCACGCCCCTCCCGGTAGCCCCGCCCCGGGCTAAGGCCCCGCCCTTTCTCGAGCTTGTGCCTTGGTGGGCTGGGGGAGGGGAGCGCCCCTCGGCCCCTCCGCATCCCCGGGTCCCGCGCAGGCTGGAGCTGGCGCCCGAGCGCGTGGTGCGCCTCTCGGCCAAGCCCACCAAGCGGCTGCAGGAGGCGCTGCGGCCCACCCTGGAGAAGCACGGCCTGACGCTGCAGCAGGTGGAGCTGCGCCGGGTGAGCGGCCGGGCCGGGCCGGGGCGGGGCGGCAGGGAGCCGGCTGCCCGTCCCGCGGGCTACTGACCTCTCCCCGCAGCCCGGCGAGAAGCAGCCACTGGACCTGGAGAAGCTAGTGAGCTCGGTGGCGGCCCAGAGACTAGTTTTGAGCACTCTTCCAGGTAGGGAGCGTTGGCCCGGTGCTCTGTCTCTGGGGACGGCTCTGGCCCTCTGGGGGAGGAAGGGAGTCCAGGCGGGAGGCAAGCACTCACGGCGGGCTCTCTGCCGCAGGTGCGAAGATTTCCGAAGCCGCTGACGTTTCCCCCTGCCGCAGCCAGGTGAGTGACAGCCGGGGCGCCCTCTTCCACCGGCTGCTTCTCCCCTCCTGCTGTGGCTCTGACCCCACATTCTCGCAGGGCTGCCTGCCCAGGACCCAGGACAAGGCCACCCATCCCCCTCCAGTGCCCCCCACTTCGCTGGCGAAGGTGTCCAGTAGTGTCCCTGGGAAGCGGCAGACCTGTGACATCGAAGGTATATTGGGGAATGGAGATCAGAGGGACTAAAACAGTGGGCTTGAGGACCTTTGACGGTGGCATCAGAGAAGCTTGAGCTGAGGCAGAGGCCTGAGTGCCACTGGGGGCAGTGTGGGGGTCCAGAGGGGCTGGTCCAGGGCCGTTGGTGCTGGGGTCTGGGAGGCTGTGGTCACAATGAGACAGCAGAACTGTGGGCCAGGCAGGATGGCTCACGCCTATAATCCTAGCACTCTGGGAGGCCAAGGAGGGAGGATCGTTTGAGCTCAGGAGTTTGAGACAAGCCTGAGCAAGAGCAAGACCCCGTCTCTACTATAAATAGAAAGAAATTAGCTGGACAACTAAAAAATATATAGAAAACATTAGCCGGGCGTGGTGGCGCGTGCCTGTAGTCCCAGCTACTCGGGAGGCTGAGGCAGGAGGATCGCTTGAGTCCAGGAGTTTGAGGTTGCCGTGAGCTAGGCTGACGCCACAGCACTCTAGCCGGGGCTACACAGTGAGACTCTGTCTCAAAAAACAATAAAGAGAGCAGAACTGTGGGGAGCCAGCATGGGCAGGGCTGCTAGCGTGGCCCCTCTGAATCTGTGGCTGCCCCCAGGCCTGGTGGAGCTGCTGAACCGGCTGCAGAGCAGCGGGGCCCACGACCAAAGGGGCCTTCTGCGAAGAGAGGACCTGGTGCTTCCAGAATTTCTGCAGCTGCCTGCCCAAGGGCCCAGCTCTCGGGAGGCCCCATCACAGACTGAATCAGCGGCCCAGCCCACTGGGGCAGCCTCAAATTCCACTGCCCGCCCAGCCCTCTGACAGCTGCCCCACAGTCCCTGCTGGCTGCATGGCACCTGGCGGGCCAAGCATGCCATGGGTCCGCTCTGCATGCCTGTCTGTGCCATGAGTGTCCTTGGCCCCTTCCTGCCATGGGCGGGCCCACAGGAAGAGCCAGGGGAGGTGAAAAGGGGACTCAGGAACCGAACCCCACCGCTGCCGCCATCCGTTCCCTAGCAGGCTCACCCACCCGACCCTTGCTACCAGGACCCCAAGGGGGATGTGGGCCTACCCCTTGGTGCAGGCTTGCCCGACACAGAGGGGTGGCGTTGGCAGTGCCAGCCTCCCCAGCCTGTGCCAAGCTTCAGCAGGAGGCAGGAGGAGGGGCCGGCCCCTCCTCAGGGAGCTGGTGTGAGCAAGGCCCAGGGTGCAGGCAGGCGGCCCCGCCCTCCACCCACCCACGTAGACTCTACTGTACATATGGATTTCGCAGTGGGCTTGGGGCAGCTGGCTTTGTCCTGGATGTATGATACTGTTATTATAATAACTGTTATTATTCTGTCATGAGGTGTGGTCCTTGTGTGGCAGTTTGCCCTGTTGTCCCCCCCCCAGCCCCCGGCCCTAAACCACTGCATCTGACACCAAGCTCGGTGACAGCAAGCTCGTAGGGACCTCAGGATGTGCCTCCTGACTTCCTGTTTTCAGAACCTCTCTTCCTGACTGCACAGATATTGGGGGGAGGGGGGTGCATGAGAGACAGAGGGAGGGAGGAGGGAGAGGGGGGTGAGTGTGGAGGACCCTGGGCAGCTGTGCCCCTGCTGTCACTGGGCTGCTCCCCTGTCGCTGTGGGTGGGAGCACATCCGTCTGGTTGCTGTTCTCCGCTTGTATCGGGGACTGTCTCTGCACCCAAAGCGGGGGCTCCTTCCGCACATCAGAGGGCTGTGTGGGGGGACACTGGTTGTGGTGGGGGCAGGTTCTCACGCTTGCCTGCTTTGTCTGGGTGGTCTTCCCTGTCCCCAGGCAGCCAGGGAAGCCCAGACCCCACACGGGGGGAGGCAGGGAGTACCTATGGGGAGAGAAGCCAGACTCGGCCCAGCCCAGAGGGTAAGTGCCCTGACAGAGGAAGCAAAGGGACAAAAGAAGCCACCTGAGGGGGCGAGGGGTGCTCCTGACTGCCTCAAACAGGTCAAGTTCTCTTCCCCATTCCAGTCTTTCCCTGGCTGTCCCCTCTGCCAGGAACTGCCCCCGCCCACCCTCTTCTCATTTAACTGGCTCCTTCTCATCCTTGAAATCTGTGAGAGAAATCAATGGGGTTTCCTAGCTCACCAAGGCATCACATGGGGGCTTCAGCCCTCAGCCTGCTCTGCCTTGGCTGGCTTAACCTGGCCAATCAGAGCACTCCATTCCCCTGGCCAATCAGAGTATTACATTCCCCTGGCCAATCAGAGCACTCCATTCCCCTGGCCAATCAGAGCACTCCATTCCCCTGGCCAATCAGAGCACTCCATTCCCCTGGCCAATCAGAGCACTCCATTACCCTGGCCAATCAGAGCACTCCATTACCCTGGCCAATCAGAGTTTGGTTCAGGGATGGTCGTCTGACCCCAGTTCCAATCAGAATCCCAATCCTGGTCATTCTCCCCCATCTCCTGTGGGTTTGTGGAAAGGACTGGGGGGGGGAGAGTCCACTCACGTGGCTGCACGTGAATGCAGCCAACGCGTGGGATCAAGACAGATGTTCTGTGAAATGTAAATGTAATCAAGGACAATATATCATTAATAAAACAAAACAAATAAAACAGGTAATAGATAAGTTCTAAAAAACTTTTTTTAAAAAGACAGAGATGGAAGGAGATTCCTGACAAAATTCAGCCATACCTGAAATCCACCGCTGCTACACCTTCTCCTTATGCAGCCGATAAAGTTTACCCAGGTGTGCTGCGAGTCGGGTTTCCAAGACCTGCAACCACAAAACGCTGCTTCTTTGAAGAGCTGGACTTAAACACACCTCAGAGGATCCTTCCCTGGTCGCCCTACCTGACCATGGAAGGGCTCCCCGACTTTGTTCTCTGCTGCTCTAGCCTGTTGTCTTCCTTCCCAGCACTCACCACACTCCGCAATTGCCTCGTTTACTTTATACTCGGGCCCTGACAGCGGAAACCTTGTCCCTCTTACTCACCGCTCTAGCTCCTTAGCCCAGTGAGCTGACAAATGATGCTGCCGTCTCAGTCTCAATGATGGGTGCAGGGACAGCAGGGCACTGGGCGTCCTGGCCAGGGACTGCATAGCATCAACATCCGTGTGGGGCCAGGAGTAGGGCCTGGGAGACAGACCCATGTCCCTTCCCTGACCAGCCACAGAACTTCCTTCATACTTCCTGGGACCTGGGACTTCTCCCTTGTGGGGGGAGACACCCTTCCCTGTTCCCCAGGACAGAGCGGTAGGGGCACCGGGTGAGAGATGGACTATCCCCCCAAAGTTAGCAGATCCTGCAGGCCACGCCCACCCTTCACCCAACCCTGCACCTCTGCAGACCCAGCCATGATGCCAGTTACTCTTAGGGACCAGCAGGATGGCCCCACGAGAGAGGGGCCACGGGCCAGGTGGAAGAGCACCCATGGCGGTTAGCCCATTCGCGTTAACTGAGGTGCCAGGTTAGACATGCTGCATCCTTTATTTCATTTTTGTCTTCACAACAACACAACCTGGTAGAGATCAAATCAAGCTGCAGGAGGGGACGTGACTTGCCCAGGACCATGCAAGGGGTTTCTGCTGGAACCTTCCCACCACCCTGGCTGGCTGCTGTGGGGACATACCTGGGGACAGCGTGCGTGCTGTAGAAACCCCTGATGGGGAGCCGGGGCCTCTCCGGGAGAGCACTTTGATGTGGCTACTTGGAGGAGCAATTTAGGACTTTCTGCTAAAAATTAAAAACAGCGCGTGCCACCAGCAATGCCCCTAGAGAATCACTCACTTCCGGGCACGAGGAGGCCCATCCCTGCAGGGTTACCCAGGACCCCAAAAATCCACACAACCAAATGTGGCTGGAGATGGGGACCATAACACACGCTGTGGCATGTCCACGTTCTGTCATAGCACACTGCAGGCACACAGCTGAGTACAGCGTGTCCTAATGTGGAAAATTCTCCAAGACATGTTATCATTCTGTGAAATAAAGCAGGGCGATGCATATGGCATGATACCTTTATATAAACCACAAACACACGGGCACTTGCAAGTGTACAGAAAGGACAGAGAATGTTCTAGAAGGATACAGGCCAAACCGACAGGGAGACAAGGAGGGGACCAGGATTTGGGGTAGTGGTCAAAGGAGACTTTCACCTTAGCTTTAATTTTTTTAAAAAAAGGATGTGATTTAAAATAATTGTAATAAGATAAATACATGTACTCACTAATAATTGGGAGCTAAACGACAGGCACAAAGAGAAGTGAAGGACATTGGAAGCCAAGAAGGGGAAGGGTAGGAGGGGGTGAGGGGAAAAAACTTACCTATAGGGCATGACGAACACTATTCTGGTGATGGGCACACTAAAGCCCCAGCTTAAGCATTATACAAGGAATCCATGTAACAAAAACATTTGTGCCCTCTTTGAAATATTTTGAAATAAAAAATAATAAAATAATTACAATAATACAAAGAACTCCCAAGAATCCTTCTTTGCCCCCGTTGGCCCACCATCCCTTGGTAGAGCCCAGTCCTTCCTTTGGGGGCTCGAGCCCACCCCCCGCTTCAGCCCACTTAGACTGGCCGGGTGTGCCACTCCGCCATAGCCCCCCTGTGACTCCCTCCCCAGCACGTCCCCTGAAGCAGTCCTGGGCTCCCTCCTGCCAGTTTCGGTGTTCCCAGAATCCTGCAAGGCCCTGGGCCCTCACCACCCAGCCTGGCCAAGCCCTATCTGCAGGGACAGGGGCCCGGGCCCACAGCCTCCCCCCGAGACCCGAGGCGGGGGCGAGGGGCACCAGCTGGTCAGCCCACGGGGCTGTGTTTTGTAGCCACTGCCCGGGGCTGACTCCTGAGGGTCCAGTGGTAGAGCTGCTCCCTCTCACCCTGCAAGATGGGACGCCGTGACAGGAGCTGGCCCTGTCCACCCAGCGCACAGCACGAAGGAAGGGAGAGAGCACACGCAGGGCCGCTCTGCGTCCCCCCGAGCACACCCCTTTTACAGAGGACATAGGCTAAGAGAGCAGGTGCAACGCCTTCAAGGACACCCATGGGGCCCACGCCTCCGAGAGACAATCTTGCCACCTGTCACTTGTCCTCAGCACCTTTGCCAACCGTCTTGGGGTTGGGGAGGTGTATGGTACAAGTCGGGCGCTGGGCAAGCACAGGGCACACAGTGATCTCCGTCTGGGCCAGAGTGGGGGCAGGTGGCGGTGCTGGCTGCTCACCTAGAGCCCCTGCTACGAGTGCTGACACAGCATTGGGGCAGTGGGCCGCTGCACCCTGAGGAAGCCACCCCTGTCCCCAAGATGAGCGCAAGGTGCACTCTGCGGGGGGCTGGCATGGTGGTCAGGTGACTCAGGCATCTGAGGGGGTATAGAAGCTGGACTTCAGGCCAGGCGCCGTGGCTCACGCCTGTAATCCTAGCACTCTGGGAGGCCGAGGCAAGTGGATTGCTCAAGGTCAGGAGTTCGAGAGCAGCCCGAGCAAGAGCGAGACCCCATCTCTACTAAAAACAGAAAGAAATTAATTGGCCAACTAAAAATATATAGAAAAAATTAGCCGGGCATGGTGGCGCATGCCTGTAGTCCCAGCTACTCGGGAGGCTGAGGCAGGAGGATCGCTTGAGCTCAGGAGTTTGAGGTTGCTGTGAGCTAGGCTGACGCCATGGCACTCTAGCCTGGGTGACAGAGTGAGACTCTGTCACAAAAAAAAAAAAAAAGAAGCTGGACTTCAGTTTCCACAGGGAAACAAAGGCCCAGGTATGGAGGAACACACATAGTCGGTTACATCAAGCCTGACGCGGCTCAGACTGGGCATAGGGCTGTGGGCTGCACAACTCCAGGGGGCGCCATTCACGTCCTCGGTGGTTCTGGTGGGGCCCAGGAAGAGCTGGGAACATGAGTGTGTCTATGTGGCTTGTGAAAACTGCAGGGTGGGGGGTGATCTGTGACCATCTTAGCACTTTTCTCCAAAGATCTGGCTTGGGGTTCCATCAGGGACAGAAAGCCCAGGGAGTATTGCCGTGGAAGCAGCACTGACCTTCAGGCCAGCCTTGGGCGCTGGCTGTCAGAAGGATGTTCTGGCCAGCTCAGATGGGTGGGTAGGGAAGACCCCACTTAGCCAGGGAGGCCACCATGTTCCTACCCCATTGCCAAGGGGCTGAAGGAACCTGGAACCCAGACCACGACCTGGATCCTGGAGTGTGGAACTGGAGCTCGGAGCCCAAGAGCCAGAACCTGGAGCCAAGAGCCTGGGGCTCGGAACCTGGAGTTTGGAATCTGGAATTGGAGACTGGGGCCCAGAACCTAGCACCAGAGCCCCAAGCTTGACATCCAAAGCGTAAAACAAGAGCCAGGGGACTGGAACCCAGAGCTTAGA